AAAATCAGAGCTGCCTTTGCAGGTGACTCGGAATCACCAAGGTTCTCCAGCTATTGTCTAAGCTGAGCATTAAATGACCCAGCTTTGTCACGTGCTTTCTAGGGCGCATGTCCCAGTGCACTCAAGGATCTATCCCCCACCACACATGTGTCCCAGTGGTCACTAGGACTGAGGTAATGGCCAAGCGCAAAAGTTACCAGGGCACCCAAGACATGTGCTTCAGCTGGCATTGAATCAGAGTCCAGCACAGGTGACGATATAATTACAGTGCCACCATGCTGTAGATTATGAGTCTCCGGTTTCCTGTTGGCAAGGAGCTCAACACTTTGCTCGAGGCCAAGGGTACAATGAAATCAATCAAAGCCCCATCTGTTCGTGTCAGTCCCCTGGGACCACCTGTGCCCTAGTCAGTATCAATTAGGACCCAGTCAGGAGACAGAGCTCATGTCCATAATCATATGAGCATGAACTTGAGGGTTTTTAATATCAAGAATAATATTTCAGTAAAGGACAGTTCATCACTAAAGCAGCCAAAGAGAGCTCTAAAGACCCAGGGGCAGCAAATGAGGAAATGCAGTTAAGTCTCTTCAGGGGCAAAGTAAATAAGAAGCAGATGGAGGGGCTGGTGAGATGGCTCAGCAGATAAAGGTGATTACTGCCAAACCTGGCGAGCTTGGATAGATCCCTGAGACCCATATGGTAGAAAGAGAAACTGACTATCACAAATTGTCCTCTGACCTTCACACTCACGCCATGGCAAAACACAGACAGACAGACAGACAGACAGACAGACAGACAGACATTTAAAATTTTTTAAAGAATGGCTTCAGGAGATTATCCTTCATCATTCAGCTAATTCAGACTTCTACTACAAGGAAGATATACCACTGGAACCCGTAGCCTACAATGGCTAAGAAATTGCCCGGGCCATGTGGCCTTTTCTGGCCTGTATAAACGGCCCTCAGAGTGAGAGCATGATCTAAGCATGTATGTTTGATCTATAAAAGAGACTTCCAAGTGGAAACAGGGATGGCTGGAGGGACATCTGGAGCTGTCCCACGTGAGTCACAGAGATGGGAACTGGTTCTTTGCCTTTGTGGTAGAGAAACACAAAAGAGGGAAGGAGAATCCCACCTTGGAAGGGAGAAGCCTTTCCCACTGCAGTCACCCTCTTAGCTGCCTCTCGCCCTCTACTGACTGATTCTAGTATTGCTCCCTTTGACAGCATAATCAAGGGACCAGCTCCAAAATCTCAAAGTGGGGCTGAGAAGGGCGCATACAGAGCTCAGGGTTCAACTAGTAAATGGTACAGGGACAGCGGCAGATAGTGCGGGGTATGTGGGGGAGGGGACTGGTAGAGGTATGGAAGCTGGGAGGTGAACAAGCAGTTATCAAGAAAGAGGACAGAGAAATGAATTCTATGCCTTGCCTGGGCTGGGGCCCTGAGAAGTCAACGCTGTCTCCATCTCGCTTAAAAAAGAAAATGCAGACACGTACCAAACACAGCTCAAGAAAGCCACATTGTTCCACTTCCAAATGAACAGAAAATAAAATTCCTGGACAGATTCCTTCTTCCCACCCCTGGGGATAAGTGGGAAGTGAGTTGAGATGCATTTTATTTTCTTGAAAAGACTCTCCCAGCTCCTCCACTCCTGCTGAGTCAGGCTGCCCCTGCAGATTGGAGGCTTCAATCATTCATTCAGCAACATTTTCTACAGGTCTACAAGGAGCCAAACACTGAGCCCAGGAAGATGTTTGGTTGTGAGCCTCAGTTAAACTTGCTCCCTGCATCTTTGGCTAAGCAGCTTCTATGATATCGAGAATGAGAAAAGTGTCCAGCAACTGATGCGGTCTGGGCCTAAATCTGTGGGAATTTCTGGACCAATTACAAGAGCCATGGCTTTGAAGTTATATGACATGGGTTCTAATCCTGATTAATTCTTTTGTGTGACCTGAAGCATTCATTTATACGTGTGTGTGTGTGTGTGTGTGTGTGTGTGTGTGTGTGAGCATGCGCTGTTTTATTCACCAGGGGTCTCGGTTCCAGAGCCTCTTGACTTCTACTATGTTAGAAACCATCATAAATTGAAACTCTAAAAGAGCCTTTAATCCACTGTGATGGTTTGTATGTGCTCGTCCCATGGAGTGGCAAAATTAGAAGGTGTGGCCCTGTTGGAGAAGGTGTGGCCTTGTTGGAGTAGGTGTGTCACTGTGAGTGTGGGCTTTAAGACCCTCATCCTAACTGCCTGGAAGCCAGTATTCTGCTAACAGCCTCCAGATGAAGATGTAGAACTCTCAACTCTGCCTGCACCATGCTTGTCTGGATGCTGCCATGCTCCCACCTTGATGATCATGGACTGACCCTCTGAACCTGTAAGCCAGCCCCAACTAAATGTTGTCCTTATTAGACTTGCCTTGGTCATAGTGTCTGCTCACAGCAGTAAAACCCTAACTAAGACAGCCACCTAATCTACCTAGTGTCAAAGTACCCAGAGAGTATGGGTGGCTTGCCCTCTGGTCACATGACTGCCAACCAGCATCACTATAGCGTGCACATTACTATATTAAAGGCTAGTGAGGTAGCCCAGCAGTTAAGGACGGTGACTTCCAAGCCTGGTGGCCTCAGCTTCACCCCCAGGATCCATGTGGTAGAGAGAACTGACTCCTGCAAACTGTCCTCTGACCTCCACACGCATTCTGGTGCACATGCTCACCCACACATATACGCATAACAAAAGATCATTAAGCCGAACTATTGTAAGCCAACGACAGCCTACATTGTGAGGTAAAAGGTCCTTTATCAAAGGACAATGACAATTGTGTCAGTAGAGAGTCAAGCATACTCAATTTTTTTGAATATTTTGCCTCATAGTCAATTCTGCAAAAAAGTACCATTACATTCATTGTGGGCTGTTTAGGGGACCATGCATGGTCAGTTCCTGGGGTCTGACTGTGAGGCCAAGAAGAACATCCTTGGCTTGTTGGTTCTGGAGCTGAGCTGATGTTCCTCTCAAGCCCCAGCTGGGCCTCAACTCCTCCGAAAAGCTTTGTGAGCTCACGTGAGCAGAGCCACACCTTGTCCCTTCCTTCCCTCCAAATGCTAAGAATTCTGGGAACACTAGCTTCAAGACAAGCAAGCCCTTTGCTAGTCAATAGATGTATCAAGGTAAACCCAGACGCCTTCCCTGTCCTCGAGGAGCTCAATGCTGTGTGGAGCAAAGAAAACAAGCAATGTGTACCCCATTCATAGCACACATGCATCGGTCAGCTTTTGGTGTGTAACAAATAATCCCCATACTTCCCGACATAAGAAAGAAGTGTTTAGAATCACTCCAGGTTCTAGAGGTTGCTCAGGCAGCCCCTTCTAATTAACCATATTTACCTATCAGATCGGCTGGACTGAAAGGTTAACAATGGCCTCCTCATTCACAGGCCTGGCATCTACTACCAACTCCTAGGGGATGCACTCTGTCCCCTCTAGGTCCTCTCAATCACCCAGTAGATTACACAGGCTTCCTTACAGGGCATTGTTCCAGGACAATGCAAAAGTGAGTGCCTCGGGTCTGGGACCTGAACTCCACACTCTGCCATTTCCACCACATTCTATTGGTCCAGGCAAGTTCTGTGCCATGGCTTGGACAGTCTCTGACATACATTTGAGTCCATCAGATAAGGCTTACAGGTCAGCTCTGAATGAGGGGGCTGAACCCCTACTGTTGCAACAACAGAGCTGACCTTGACCCAATGCCCCCCCCCGGGGGTGGGGGGATGGTAGGCAGCTTGAGACCTCAAGATGAAGCCCACTGCCTGAGGAATGGCTTCTGAAGCTTAATCTTGTCAAGCCTCTAAGCACACATTGGGTTAATTGGGGAGGGAAGACCTACCTTATCTGTGGAAGTACCATTCCAAGGCTGGAGTCTTGAACCAAACAAAAAGAAGAAAGGGAATTGAGGATCAAAATCCGTCATTGTCTGCTTCTTTATTTTAGGAGGCAACACACATCCACATGTGCCCGTACAGAGGCCAGAGGACAGACATCTGGCCTCTTCCTTCCTCCGTTGTTGACCACATCAGGTCCCCTTCCTCTGACCTGAAGCTCTCCATTTTGGCTAGGCTGGCCAAGTGAACTCCCAGGACTTATGTGTCTTCACGGTCCAATGCTGGGGTTATAGACAAGTGTGGCCACACCCAATTTTTATGTGGGTACCGAGGACTTGAACTCAGATCCTCATGCTTGCCTAGCAAGCCACTCTTACTTAATAAGGGATTTCCTCAGGCCCTGTTCTCTGTCTCTTGACTACGAATATGATGTGAATAACTGCTTGAGGTCCTGCCGCCCCACCCCAGCCCACTCCACTCCTTCCACATGCCACCCCTACCCCTGTGTCTTCCCCACTGTGATGTTCCCCTGGTTGTCAACCTGATACACCTGGGAAAACAGACCTTCCCCTCCATCACCACATTGACCTGTGTTCCTATCGTCAAGGAACTGCTTTTGCACAATGGCTGATGGAGGAGAGTCCAGCCCACTGTGGGCAGAACCATTCCTAGGCCAGCGAGCCTGAGCTATAGCTGAACATGAGTCTGGAAGTTTGCCAATTAACAGTGTTCCTCCTCAGTTTCTGGCTGAGTCCTGCTCTGAGTTCCTGCCTTGGCTTCACTCATGATGGACTGCAACCTGTCAGATGAAATAAATGCTTCTCTCTCCACGTTGCTGTTGGTCGTGGTGTTTATCATCACAACAGAAACCAAACTAGAACACGCACTACAGTGGACTGTACCCTTGAGCTGTATCCCAGAATAACCCTTCCCTCCCTTAAGATACTCTTGTTAAGTACTGTGTTGTAGAAACAACCTCTATAGGAGGACTGTGAGTGATGCCCTGGTCCATATATCTGCTATTTGGTGAACAGAATAGCCAAAACAAGCCTAGGATCTAGGCCTCTGATCCATGCCGCTCCAGGAGGCTGGGCAGGTACCCATCACACACAGCCACTGGGTGGCATTCAGAAAGCACATTTATTTACAAAGCACTTTACAAACATTACCTTACACCTCCCCACAGCCCCCTGCGAGGTAGGTCAGTAGTCATATCTACAGTTTACAGATGGGGAAATTGAGGCACGAAATAGGGGTGTGGCCTACCCCATTATAAAGAGAACTTCCCACCCTCCCATCAAAAACATAGCAAAATAACAACAAAAAAAGCACTGGCCCTCCATCCCAAAGCACCCCTTCTTTCTCTGCACTCTAGGAGCTGGCACCAGCCCTGCTCTAGCCCACAGCCTCACCAAGAGCCACAGGGACCTCAACCCCAGGGGCTGTGATTCAGCCTTGTGGATTGTCACAGGCCCAAGCTGAGCAGGACCAAGCCATGGCGACCTGAAGGCCAGGGAAGAGGGAGCTGAAGTGTATCATTCTACATATACTGGGCCAGGCAGGGATGGAGCCCAGGAGGGAGGCACAGGTCCTGTTGCAGGAAAAGCTCAGAAGCAGGAGGAAAGCATGACGAGCAACAACGCACCCCGGGTCTGTAGGGGCAGTGGGAGCACCCCGGGTCTATAAGGGCAGTGGGATGGAGAACGACGCTGCAGGATGGTTAGCGTGTCCCACTGGCAAGACAGGGAGGAGTCCCAACTTCAGGACTCTCAGGGGCTCAGGCAGCTGAGACGCAGCCCCTGTCAAGTTCCAGTGAGCTTCAACCATGTGCAGCAGGAACCACACTGGGTGCAAACCTTGGACACTCTCTGCAGTCGCTCATTCATTTCTTGCCAAGGACTGTAATAGAATGGAGAGGGCTAGCCTGGGCTCCCCAGCACTAGCTATTTTGGCCAGTGCCACTATCCCAGGCAAGCTTCTCTGCACAGGTCTGCAGGGCCTTCTGGAGGTGGGGCTGATACAGTCTTGCAAAGCTCCTCCTTGGCCTGCAGCCTTCCCATGGGGGACACCAAGATAGTGCAGCATCCGTCCCCATGTTCTCCCTGTGGAATTATGGCTGAGCAAAGTTGGGGCCACAGGCCCTCCTCATCAGTCTGGGATGATGGGCCATGCCCTGCGTGTTCACTGGGTGTGCCAGGCCAGGCGCCTGCTATCTCAATTCCAGAGCCTCCAGGTACTCCAGGGCCACGTCATAGCAGAAATGGTATTGATCCTAGGGAAAGAGAGTGCGTTGAGCCCTGACCGCCCTCCAGAGAAAGAGGAATGAGGAACACATTCTAACAACCCAGGACTAGAATGGAGGCCCAAAGTTGGGTACCGGACAAGGGTATGTAGGTGCTAAGAAACCCTGCGGGGATTGTTTGGGGATCTAAAGTAGCTGTGTCTGGGACACAGCTCCTCACCATGGTCTCCACCATATTGGGCTTGTAGTTCCGAAGCGTTTTGGCAGCAAAGAAAACATCCACCAGGCTGTGACAGCGGATCATCTCCAAGATCGTAGCACAGGCACAGAAGGTGCCACTACGGCCACCGCCGTTGCTAAAGGAAACACAGACGAGGTTTGGACCTGGGAACCCAAAGGTTAGGAGTGGAGCTAGGCAATCTAAAGGCAGGGGCAGGGTCAAAGAGACCAACGCCAGAGGCAACACTGAAGAGCCAAGCAGGCTTGACTAGGGAGACGAGGGATGAGAAGTGGATCCCAGGAGCTAGTCCTAGGAGCAGAACCCAGAACTGTGCATGGTGTCAGAAGACAGCCTCACGAAGCATTGGCCTGCAGATTCCTGGAGGGAAGAGCCAACCTCGCTTCAAGTGACAGAGAAGGGAAGCTCAGAGGCAAACAAGACCCAGAGCAAGATGGGAAGCGGGAAGACCAGCCAGGGCCAACCGTGCAGATACACAGCCAATGGCCACCAGGCATCCCATCCTCCTCGGCCCACTTCCCTCTGTTCCCGTGACCCAACAGGAGCCTCCTGGGCAATGGGAGACTAACTAGCCTCCTGCTGCAGGAGTCCCTCACTAAAACTGAAGGTGAGCCCTTGGAGGACAGGGCCCAGACTGGCACTGGGAGGTTCGCAAAGCCCAAGAAGCATGAAAAAGAGATAAGTGTGCCCAGATGTGAGTGAAGGCCTGCATTTCTGAATGGAGGTGCACATAAGCAAAAGAATGAGTGAGATACACACTAGAAAGAGATAGAACGTTGCATGTGTACATGCATACATAAAGACTGGAATCCCAAAGGCAAAAAGGGTATGCTACATGGGGCCAACTTGATGGCTAAGTGGGTGAGGGTGCTTGCTGCAAAGACTGACAGTCTGAGTTCAATTCCCAGAACCTACATGATGGAAGCAAAGAACTGACTCCTGCAGCTCCTGTTGTCCTATGACCTCCATACACACACTGTCATGCAAAAACACACGCATGGGCATACACATGTATGTGCACGTGCATACACACACACATTAAAGAAGTATAATTTTTTTTAAGTATGCTACACAGAGTGAGCAAGATTCCTCAGTGGGGTAAAGACACTTGCCATGAAAACCTGGTGACCTGGGTTTGAACCTCAGAACCGGAGTAAAGGTAGAAACAGAAAACCAACTCCATGAAGTTGTCCTCTGACCTCTAGACATTGGCTGTGCCGCGTGCATGCCTCTACATCATACACACGCACATAGAAATGAAGAACAAATGTAAGCGTGCTGTGATGTCATGGGGCGAGGGATTCTGACAGCCCCTGGAGCCTGGACTCCTTTGTGTTAGCCCTGAGAGCTCTGCCAGTCTCCTGGCCTTCATCTACCCACCCCCTCCCAGGGAGCACTCACAGACGCCAGGGAGCACTCACAGACAATGCACCACGGTGCGCCCATCCCCACTCTCTGCCTGCCACTTGTCCACCTCAGCCAACAGGTGCAGGAAGGCCTTCCTGGAGTCAGGCGTGTCCCGATAAGCAGACCAGCGCAGGAACTGAAAGTGCCGTACCAGCAGGTGACCCTCCTGCAGCTGGGAACACAGAAACCAGGCAGAGAAACATGAGCACGGAGGTCATAGGAGCCCCCGATGATCTTGAGAGGATCAGTAAAGGGAGCCCTGGCCGCTCTCCCTCAGCCTCCTCAGGACACTCACCCGAGAAGAGTTCTGCACCCGGAACACTCGGGACACCAGATCCTCGTTTGCTGTGCCAGACACAAACTCCACCTCCATGAGCCCATACTGCTGTCGGCCTGGCTCTGGCCAGTACTGCAGGCAGGGCTGGGACACAGAGAGAAAGCTGAGTAGCACCAAGCCAGACCCCACTCCAATGCCAGCTCTAGGGGCTCCAGCCTGGCTCAGTACCTGGCTCCAGACTCCCCGGCAGCAGACCTATCTCTCCACCACTCACCCATCAGAACACAAGGACAGCTGCCCAGAGCACTGGCATGCACAGACTGGTCCCAGCAAATTCTTCACAGACAGTGTCATGATCCCTATGGCTATGTGGCTGGAAACCTCCCCTCTAACATGCTAGCTGCGTCCCACAAACATGTGTGGACTCCTGAATCATGCTACTATCCTCTGGGAAGAGGTAGGCATTCACCCCACCTATCCCAAACCAACAATGTCTCTGAGCCCGGCTCTAGCTCAGAGATAAAAAGGTCCTGATGCTCGAACATGGCTTCCTTTCCCACACTGCCCCTGTAGACCACACTAGAGATGGGAGAGGGGCAGAGGAGCCCCCTCTGATACACACATATGCACGCATGTGCTTTGGCATAAAGAGGTAACATGGCCTACCCCAAGTCAAAGGAAAAACAGGAGCCTTGGATTTGTTTTACCTCAAAACCCCCAGGGTAGGTAGTTTGGGGGAACCACCGCAGCAGCAGAAATTCTGAATGGGATGTTCTTGGGTTGGGGAGCACAGCACTGCCACTTCCCACTATGTGACCTTGGAGAAAGCACCTCCCCTCTGCTGGTCTTAATTCCTTTTCTCCCACAAAGCCTCAACCAGAAGCCACCGTCAACTATAAATGGGATCAAGCATGCACAACGGTCCCAGGTGCTCACTAAAAAAGGAGCTGAGTTGATTCCACGTGAAACCCTTGTTTACAGATTAAGAACCCCAGGCCCTGGGAGGGAGTATGACAGCGGAGTGGGTGCCTTTGGGGACAGCGCCAGTGAGAGCCTCACCCAGGCAGAGTTGGACTGGTTAAGTTGGTTCAGCATGACGATGGAGGTGCACCCATAGTCATAGACCAGCCGCCAGAAGTCGGGTGTGGTACTCTGCAGAGGGTGCAGGGTCACGATGAAGGCGGCGCTCCGTGTGTAGCTCTGCAGAGGAAACCGCACTCAGCAGGACCCTCTGATGCTCTGAGCAGTGCTTCCCAGAAGCCAGTGCTTGCACGTGAGTGACCAGACACTTTCCTACAGACTGGACCACCCCAAACGGACCCCAGCCGACCCCTTCCCTCAGTCAATGCACTGGTGCCTAGGAATCAGTCCTCTGGAATGCCAGGCCCACTACACATGGTATTTGAGGTATTCGAGGCTTCAGGGGCCCAGGGGAGCCCATTCCCACCCATGACCTTTCCTAGCTGGACCCTGGAGTCATCTCTCCAGCCCCCCAGGATATAGACAGCACAAAGAGGTGAAAGATTATGGATAAAAAGGAGTCATCAAACCCTAAGCTTCCGTGCCAAACTATGATACTCCCTAGGACCCTTCAGCAGGCCAGACACCCAACTAAGCAATGCAGTGGGCACACATCATGCACACACATGGCACCGGGCTGAGTGACGGTGGCTGTGGACCTCTCCCATGTGTCTCACTTCAGACATAGAGCTTTCGCTCACACCAAGAAGCTCACAGGCAACACCAGGTGTCCTCTCACCTTATGCCTTGTGCTATCCTGCTGAGAGGGCTCTGGGCCAGGAACTAGGCCACAAAAAGCCTACCTCCTTCAGATCAACTCGGGGCCGGTGTTCTCTCCTCCCTATGTGGAGGTCTTCCAGTTGCCTTGAGCCTCTCTTCTTTTATTTCTCCCTGACCATTCACCGCCCTTGGCTCTTTGCTCTCGGCAACGTAAGTTCTCAGTGCCTTGCTCCTCATCCCCATGATGGTCTGTCCCTGACGTACGTAGGAGGGCAAATCACCCCGGCAGAGAGCTCAAGACACACAGCCTACATTGCTCCACAGGCAAAGCCCTGTTCTCTCCCGTTTTCTGTAACATTCGGTTCTCTGCCTGCCTGGCACCTGTGCTTCTCTCTCATCTGGCTTTCAGAGGGAGTGGAACAGGACTGAAACTCACAGTTCTTCCTCCTCAGAGGGCATCATCCCCAGTCCCCAAGTCCCAGCACCTATGTCCTGCTCTGCTTGCATGCCCAGTCAAGGAGGTGAAGACCCTTTGGACAGGGGACAAGTCTGCTCACCGGTTCCTGGGCCCCTAGGCCACAAGGAGATAAGAACTGGGGGTCTAATCACCACTGTAGGCCAGGTACAGTCCCGTCTCCTTCTCAAAACAGGTTCCTCTAGCTCTAAATATCAGGTGTCAAGTCCTGACCTCAAATCTCAGGGATCCCCAGCCAAAGTCCTTGTCTCACTCCAGGCTCTGCTGGGACCAGTCCTGGAGACAACCCTGCCTAAACTCCACCACCCAGACCCCTCACTAAAGCTGACTGTAATACCAGAAATGGAACACTAAGTGTCCAGAGTATAAGACTGAGAGGAGTAAGAAGGTCTCCCATGGGCTTGTGCATCACAAGGGGATGTCCCTCCACCAGAGGCCTTAGCTATACTCCATCAACTCCGGGGCCCTCCCAGGAGGGGAAGTTCCAGAGCGACTGCAGCCTCAGGCTCTCACATCAGTCAGTGCTGCATTGATGTAGTTGTTGGGGTCCCCGTCACTGGAGATGAGGAAGGGCAGGCAGCGGTCTGGCGGCAGCACGTCCATACTACGGTTCTTGTCTCGATTCCGGGGCAACAGGGCAATGCTACACTCCTCCACGTCCAGTGGCGGTGTGACAGAGTTCAGCGTCTGGAGAGAGAGAGAGAGAGAGAGAGAGAGAGAGAGAGAGAGAGAGAGAG